GAATATTGTGTTCTTTTTTAATGTTCTTGATTTTGAAGTGATATTCATGAATGCGCACAACATCATGTCATAATCCCGTTTATGAGTATGATTCACATCATTGGGTGCCATTACAGTCCTTAAAGGATAGGTTCTATAGGCATGCACAATATAGAGCATTGCTTTATTAAAGGGACCCTTGAACCTTGAGCACGGATATTACCTAACCACATGTTGAAACAAAGAGTTTTCGCTAGTGGGTCCAAACGGTACGCATTACTCATGGAGCCACCCCCAAAAGGATTAGGATGTTTGCCGGTAACAGGGAGGACGCTTGGCTGTTTCCTGTCGACATAATCAAGAGGACTGCCGGATAGCACTACTGCTAAATCCAGACTCAGAAATTTGAACAGAGAGAGAAGAAATCATTTTGAAATTCATATTTTATGCCAATTTGGAGAAGAAGATTCTCAATTCGTGCAATAAATAAACAAATTTTAAATGATTTAAAAGTTAAGAAATCAATTAGTCATAATTCTCTTATTAAGCATCTTAAAGAAAAGAATACTTAATCTTTGTTGGGTACCCTGCAAAACAGCCATTAGTTAAAAATGATTACCCTTGAGAAGGGCAGGTTTAGTTTACACAACCAATTGTGTAGTCCACTTTATGCAAAGATGATTTTAAATAAGTCCCCAGCAGAGTTCGCCAAATCTGTGACCCTCCCCCAAAAACTAGGCATGTAAATGCATTATGGACTTTTTTAAAAAAAAGGGGGGGGGGGCAAAGAAGTGCACGTGAATGTGTGGAGTCGCCACCTTGTTTAATTATTTTAGGGTAACTAGGAAAAAACCCTAAGTTGACTCCAATTTTAAGTTAACCCTAATTTACTAGTTAATTATCCCAATGTTTAAGTATGGTTGCGAAACCCGAGGTGGATCCTGAGACCATTGTCATGTTTATGAACTAACCGATGGATGAATGCTTTCAATGGTATGGGACCAATGAAATGTTTTAAGTGATTTTCGGACTTGCCGCTCGGGTGTTAAAATCCCGAACGTGCCTACGCTACTTCCGTTTGAATGGAAGGATCCAAAGTCAACGTCCTAGTTCGATAGGCCTTTTTTAAAAGGCTTGAATGGGGTATGGCTTTAATGGATGAGTGTGTGTATGCTTTGTGCATTTTGCCAAAAATTGATTGATTTTGATTAGGCGGTTTGTTGCCAAAAAGTGTTGATTTAAGGTTTTTAGGCAAAAAGGATTGATTTAGCCAATTTGTTCTGCCAAAAAGTTGATGTGATTTTAGGCGTATTGTCGCCAAAATTGATCATATTTTAAGGCTTTTAGCCAAATTGAGTTGATTTAGGCAATGGTTTGCAAAAGTATGTTTTGTTTGGGCGATTTGTTCGCCAAAATGGGAGTGATTTAAGGCTTTTTAGCCAAAAGATTGATTAATTCAAGGCATTTTTGCCAAAAAATTCGATTTAAGGCGATTTGTCGCTAAAAATGATTTAATCTACTTATAGGCAATCATTTGGTTATGCCAAAGTGATCAATTGAATTGCAATATAGGCAATTTATTGCCAAAAACGTGTTTAATTTAAAGCCATTTTAGCCATCAATTATTGATTCAATTTTGGACTTAGCGGACTGTTCGGAATAAATGGCAGATTATTACCATAGTTCATTAACTTTGACTAGATACTTTAGCCAAATACTTGTCGGATTTAGGCTTTTTAATATTCACGATTTATTGATTAACCGGCATTTTTAGCCTAAAACTTATTTTACTTAAAGGCAATTTATTTTTGCAAATGATGGACGATTGGTGTGAATGCAGTTGTTAGAATTAGGAGTTAGAGAGAAATATGCATGAAATTGCTTGAAATTAAATTAGGCAGGGTTTTCGTTATTTACCTGAGTTTAATCGGCGGATTAAGCTTGAAACTCCGGAATTTAGCTCCTAGTTAGGGAATATTATTAAAATTAATTTAATTTAAGTGGCCAAGTATCACAACAGTAGAATACTAAAAAGCCTATACTAATGCAGAAAGCAGTAAGATATGCAAGGAGCATTTAGGGGAGAAGGGAGCGTCCGGTCAACACAGACTGAGTGAGTAAAAAAAGTTCGCACCGAGACTGATTATAGTGAAAAAACGGGCTGTGGAGGCCGGAGCTGCCGCCGTATCCTGTCCACTCGCTAGTCTTACGTTTCGACGGCTTTTTCGGGAGTTCCGTACCTCCAAAAAATATTCCGGGGAACCAGTTCCGTGATCCTCGTAATTTTCCAAGACGTTTCAAGAGTACCATATTAGCATACTTTCGCGCTGAATTTCGAATGGCCCCTGGTCCGGCCGGACTGTTTGCAGCTTCCGGGAAAACCAGGCTTTTTTGTAGCCTCAAAATTGAGTTTCACAAGGTGCGGTTTCGAAAAACAGGCTTCCGATCGTGCGCTGAGCTCCGTTCGCATGAGGGAGGCTGGAACTTAGTTAGTGGCACAGGTGAGTCGTTAGCCACCTCGTTGCTCGTCGTTGCGTGGCGGAGCGTAGTCCCTCGGAGAAAGAGGGAGGCTTATCGCACGCGATAGAGAAGAAGAAGTAGGAAGAAAAAAAAAAACTAAGTCGGTTTTCTAGATCATTCCGAATTTAGAATCGGTTTGGTCTGTATTCAATTTGATTTGGCTGATTTGCTCGTGTTGCCAGGTTTTTCACTTGACTTGGTTTTCACGTTATTCATGTGGTTTTTGAAAAATCAATTTGATTTCTAGGTCCGGTTCTATTTATTTTGATTATTTTAGTTAGGTTCCGAAACATTTTCTCCATTTACTCAATATTAATAGTAATGATATTTGATTCAATTTTGCTCGGTTTGCAGGTTTTTCACTTGGTTTTCACGTTATTCATGTGGTTTTCGAAAAGTCAATTTGATTTCTAGGTCCGGTTCTATTTATTTTGATTATTTTAGTTAGGTTTCGAAACATTTTCTCCATTTACTCAATATTACTAGTAATGATATTTGATTTTAGGATAATTAATTTATATATATTCATAATAGATTAAATTGTTAGAGTTCCATATTATTTCTCGAAAATTTTAACTATTCTCAAATCTTTTCTTTCTCGAAAAATTTTTAAGCTATTCTCAAATCAAAAACATATTATTTCTCGAAAATTTTAACTATTCTCAAATCAAAAATTTCAACAATATATTTGGGCTTGGGCCCAACTCGCAAAACTTTGGACTCAAATTAAGATTGTTTGGTATTTATAGCATATCTAGTCGAAAATCAAGATTTTTTTATTTAATAAAAATTCAAAAATTTCAAAAATAAAAATTAAGGGTGTTTCAATAAGTGAACACTTGGAGTCAATTCCTTACTCGAACCCAAAATAAGAAATCAGAGATTCTTGGTTCGATCCCCAGTGGAATCGTCAGAACTAGAGGACGCTATATTTTCCCACTAATAGGAAAATAGTAATGAGCTTGATTGATTTTATTTAATAAATCAGTTTTTGTTTATTTAACCAATTCATTAATCCTCGAAAAATGATTCTAAGAGTTTTATTTTGGAGTCGTCACCCTCTTTAGGAAAAATTCTCGAATTAGTCGATTCTTTGGAATCAACTAACTCGGTTTTGAACCGCAAACTGGATAAGGGAGTGAGGTATGATATTAGAAAAGTATTAGGCACCCAAATCGGTCGGTTTAAACCGGCCTCTAAGTGGTCCACGAAATTCACAATGATTTAATAATAGAATTAACTAAGATTTGAGATGCAAAAATGGTTTTAATGTCAATTTTTAAAGAAGTGTCAAATATGCAATTAATCTCATACATTACTTAATCACTTAGATTCCTTAAATCAGACATAAACCTAGAACCGCCTAAACCTCAGCTCTAGTACCATCAGACATAAACCTAGAACCGCCTAAACCTCAGCTCTAGTACCAATAAATGTAAAAGCCATCACTTGATCCTAGAGGAATAAGCTACGAATGCCACATTCGGTGCTAGAGGCACCTATCTAAGATACAGATTTAAACCTTATTAGCTAAAGACATGAGTAATATTTTGTTTTTTTAAATAGATTAACTTTAAGTCTCGCAAGTCTATAGCAAGTCCATGGTTTTACTTAGAAAATGATTTAGGAAATCTTGCAAGAAAATTGCAAAAGTCTCCCCTAAAAAGTGGACTTAACTAACAACCTGTGAAACAAGAAAACACTTCCAAATTCAATTACTCAACCATCCAACAATTCCAATATAATCAAACTAAATCTCAATCTATAATACATACATATAATCCTTAATCCATCATTATCATCATCATCTCATAAGCCATAAATCAACACTCATAAAGCCATAAATCAAAGCATAAATACTCTTAAAGCAATAAAATTCCTATAAATTACAATTTCATGCATAAGTAACTTAAAATTCCAATTCTAACAAACTCAAAGATATCTACTCAATAATTAATAAAACCTCATACAAGCTGCAAATTATAAATTCCTTGTACATAAGTTTCAAAACAATTAACAGTAGTCCCAGGTATCTTATTTTTTACATGCCATAAATTATCAAAATATATAAATGACAATCCTAAACAACCCAAAAAGAATATCCTTTTGCTCTAATGCTGATACTTTGGTCTTTCCTACTTGCACCTTAGTCACAACCCTACGCGTGATAGAAATTGACGTACTGAGTATGAAACTCAGTGGTGCTCAATAAATCACATACATTCACATGTTCCACGAAGCAACATACATTCAAATCAAAATAGAAAACACTTCCAAATTCAATTACTCAACCATCCAACAATTCCAATATAATCAAACTAAATCTCAATCTATAATACATACATATAATCCTTAATCCATCATTATCATCATCATCTCATAAGCCATAAATCAACATAAATACTCTTAAAGCATAAATTCTATAATACATTCATGCATAAGTAACTTAAATTCCAATTCTACAACTCAAAGATATCTAGCTCAATAATTAATAAACCTCATACAAGCTGCTAATATAAATTCTTGTACATAAGTTTCAAACAATTACATAGTCCAGGTAATCTTAATTTTTACATGCCATAATTATCAAATATATAAATGACAATCTAAACAACCCAAAAAGAATATCCTTTTGCTCTAATGCTGATACTTTGGTCTTCTACTTGCACCCTTAGTCAACAACCTACGCGTGATAGAAATTGACGTACTGAGTATGAAACTCAGTGTGCTCATAAATCACATACATTCACATGTTCCAATAGCAACATACATTCAAATCAAAATTTACACATTCGAGCTCATAATCATATAATCATTTGACTAATAGACATGCATAAGCATCTATGGTACATGTAATCATTTTAAGCAGATAAACCAATAGTACTCTTAATTAAATCATATCATATCATATAAACATCACATAGGCATTTATACTGCATATAAGCATGTTAAACATATGAATCTAGATTTCTCATAATCATATCATATAAATTCATTTAATACATAATTAAATATGCATAAGCTAGAAATACATAATATCATTATATGAAGTATAAGACATATTAATCAAGAATTTCTAGAAAGTGTATCATAGTTATAAATCATAAACCTATAAATACCCATATCATAGAATATTACCTTATTAAGTCAAATTCTTTTAAATATTTACTTATTGGGCTCATATACACATAGTAGAAAATGAAGCATATTAGATTTCATATCATAGTCAGAGAGGCTTTAAAAGCTTAACAAAAGCAGATAGAGCGTGTCCGCTCATACAGATGGCACCCACTTGCCAAGCATATGATCATAGATATATCCAAATAACAGAATGGCACTAAGTGTCGAGCATGCTCATATAATAGAATAAATCCAAATCACACAATAATTTCACACCAAGTATATTAGAGCTAAAAATTTTACTTTCTTTCTTTAAGTTACAAGGTTGCTTATAAACTTTGCTTGTCCAGATAGTACATTGCTTATACATGATTTATCTCAATTCATAAATCCTTGAAACTAGTTACCACATGGAAAGTCTTATATGCCTTAAATCCAAATAATTAGGATAAAATCCTTATAATCATACATATCAGATCATAAGTCTTAAGCATAAAGGCATGAAGAAGCTACAAGTCCTATGAAAGTCACTCACAGGTTATGTAACTTAAGCATAACCAACATATTTGGAGAATCTCATAAAACATATCATAAACACTCATGAGCTTATAAATGGTAATTAGATTTTTTTTTTTTTTTAAACACTTATAGCATACAAGAATCATGCTTAAGGAGTCATTGAAACTTTCAAATCTCAAAGAGCCTTGAAAATCACATAACTTCTTGCATAGTGTAAGAATCAGATTCTTATATATGTATATTGCATATTCCATCACTAAGTCCCATAATCATAAATATCTATCAATTATATTAACCAACCAAAGTCACATTTTTATGGCTTGTATCCAAAACTTCATTTTCATGAAAAACACATTACTTAGAGAATTTATCTTTTTCCTTAAAAATCAAGAAGTTTAGAAATCACACTTTAAATCAAATTCAATTCTTTCAAATGTAAAGTCTTAGTAGTCATCTCTAAGCACCTTAAACAACCTCATAGGAGAACATTCATGGCCTCTATGGCCCAAAGTGAAATTCTTGTACAATCAAACTTTCTTTTCACATTTTAAACAATCAAAACCTTAATTCGACACTAATAACCATAACCGAACTCAATTCATGTATAATTCTTTAAAAAGTTTTCAAAATTTCAAATTTTTACTCATAGGAAAAATACTTATTTACAAGGATTCATTAAAAGCATTTTCTCCAAATTAGACCTTACTTTACCATAAAAAGCTTAACATAGAAATTCTATGTCATAAAAGTAATTTTTCGTATTCAAGACATTCACTCATTAACTAACTCAATTAAAACATTCCTTAAACATGTATAAGCATACACATATGCAAAACATGCAAGCTTTATGGTAGTTATTCAAGCTTTCTCACATTTCAAGTCATATGCAATCTTAAGTCATAAATGTCATTCTTAACATCTAGACTTTCTTTTTCTCATCAATTCATTCAAAAGCACTTAATATATCTTAAAAACATAAGTACACTTAAAGCATGTATATACTTAACATTTGTCTCAAAAATCCCTACGACTTAAGTCATAGGATTTTCACCAATTCTCAAGATATAACTAGGATATTCATGCCAAAGTTAACACACGTGCTAAACATCACAAAACAAAGGCATTTTATGATTAAAAGCATAAAAATCCCTCAAAGAGGTGACTTTTTCTATGTCATATCATAAGTTAAGTATGAAAAATCTTATAAAAGACTTCCTTCATGTAAATTAAGTCTCTAATCATTTTGATATCTTTAATTAAGTCCCAATATCATATAATTAAGGTCTAGCTCCTCAATTACACACTAAGCATGCAAAATACCCAAAAACTCATATACTAAAGTTATAGGAAATTTCTCATAACTTAGTATTCGTGCAAATTATCTTCACCAGCATTTAAATCCATACGTGATACATTATTTAAAAGTTAAATCATGCATGAAAAGGACCAAGGCACAAGCCTTACCTATATACATGGTTCGGCCAAGTGTAGCTCATAGGGAGAGGGAGCTTCTCTCATCAATCCAATCATTCAAACATCACCAAAACTTGCCCAAGAACACAAATTAACTTCTAGCATACATCAATTTAATCATATAGCTCATTTTCCCCAAATTTTGCATACTTTAGTCATAAGAAAATTAGGAAAACTAAGAATATAAGCTCGCAATTTTTACCACATGTTGAATACATATCTAGCATCATTCTATGAGCATTACCAAGCAAAGAAAGTAAGAAAAACACTAGGTCTTTCTCACTAGTAGGTTGGGCCATAGTTAGAACTTTAGGGGGAAAGAGTTTTCTTTCACATTCAAGAAAATCTACAACATTAAATAACTACCCAAGATCAGATTTATTCATTCAATTTAAACCAATACATGCTTTTAAATAGAAAATTCTCAAATTTAACATAATAGGGTAGGAATTCAAAAATTCAAAATAAAATAGAGGAGATGTGTTTTATTATAACAAACCTTATAATTAGGTTTTAGCAAGCTCGAAAATCATCAATATCATGTAATGGACTTCCCCTTTATCCAATCTAGAAGGTTCTCCTTTCTCTACATGTGAGAAAGTTGAACTTTCAACAAAAAGAAATCAAATAGAAAATATAGAGCATGCATAAGAAGAAAGAAAATTCAAAAATCAACTAAAATCCATAATCTAACTTAAATGAAAATCCGACTTACTTTAGCTCTAGCAAAACCCTTAGTTTTCTCTATGTCCTTAAACCAAAAACCTCATATTCTAGCTTCAATCTTCCATAGAAATCAATAGCTTAAGGTTTAATTAGGTGAAATTAGTGTAATTCTTTGTTAGAAATCAAAAGAAATTGAGAGGGTAGGAGTTTAGGGGTGTTGGCCACGAGCGGTGAGAGAATAGAGGAAGAAAATGATAAAGAAAAAAAAAACAGGAAGTGTAGATAAAAGGGTCCAGGGGCATTTAATTGTCAACTACTTCTTTAGGAAGTTGTTGATGAATGACTTATATTGAGTCAAATGTATTATAATCTAATGGCTGTAAAAATTCTTCAATAATTTCCTCTCATGATATTAGTTTTCTCCACTAAAAATATTATAATTACTTCATAAAAACGCTTCTCCAATTTTTATAATTTCTAAAAACCACAAATCACTATTCATTAATTACTTAATTTCTACAAATAAATTCATAATTTATTTTTTACCCATCAAAATGATATATGCATGCTCCAAAATAATTAGGAAAAATATTAGTTATGAATAATAATTTCTTCGGATTAAAAAAAAACACGCATTCTCGATCGAGAGGTACTATTCACAGACCGATAAATCACTATTAATGACCCGGAAAAATTAGGGCATTACATTTATGTAGATGCTATTGTTTGTCATGTGCGTGACTAATCGAGTCTTCATCTTAGTGCCTTTAGGAATCATCTCGTGTGAATGTTTGCCTTTAGGAATCATCTCGTGTGAATGTTTGAGACATGTACAATTTATCATTGCTCACTAAGTTGTAAAACTCACCCCCATTTTTGTTTAAAATTTCAGGAAGTAGTCTTTCTCTGTTCATGCGGTAGTTCTATTTCATACCACCACAAACCTAAGAATGCAATAGATTCCTTATAACGCTCGTTCTTTCCATGTAACTAACATTTATATGATTGGGTTATAAGTAAATTTTAGTTGAGCTTCGCAATCAATAGGTCTTTTTAAGATGTTTATTTGTAAGGCGTAATGAAATAATTACATTTTCAATGTATAAATTTCATTAATTTTGGACTTGTGCATTTGTGAGCTAGAAGCCTATATTATGGTTGTTATAACTTACAGTAGATTTACATTCGATTACGATAATATAATTGGGCCATGAACTTAAATAAAAAATTTTACGTATGTTAAAGGGCTTACTATTCATGAATAAGAGTTAGATTTCATTTTAGATTAGGTAATGGTTTAGGCTTACTACGGGCTATGGAAACCTTATGTTTACTTAGGTCCTAATATCGATCCAACCTATAGATTTGCATCATGACAACTACATACAAGATATAGTTTGAATATAAGATTTGGATTTTTTTTTTTTTTCATTTAATGATTCTTTTGAGTTAGAAAAGATCTATTTCATAAGTAGTGATGTTATTAAATAATTAATATTAGAACTTACCAACTCAATTAGAAATTTTAAGGATTAATATTTTATAGCCATTAAAAGAACTAATATTTGAACTTAATAATAATTCTAAAAATTAAATTACAAAATTAAATGACTAATATTTGAACTCTATATTATCATAATGACAAATATTTGTGTCTAGTATTAAAAATAAAAAAAAGACAAATTATTAAGGATTAATATTTAAATTCAATTAAAAATCTTTATATATTTAAATTTAAATTTATGATTAAAAATATTAAATCACGAGTATGGACAACAATTATAGATAACATGCAAAGCACATTCTCAAAAATTAGTTATTATATAAAATTAAAAAACTAAAAACCCCAAAAAAAAGGAAAAAAAAATTAAACCAATCTAGGTAGTTCAATTCGAGTCAGTTTGTATCATATGAAAATTTCATTTATTTATTTTCCACCTATTAAGATTCATTTGGACCAACCCAATTTAATGTCCACTCCTAATTCATTGAAATGTAGCGGGGGCAGTGAGATTCATATCCCTTATTTGTTTCAATTTTAATTTATTCTAAAATTTTGCTAGTTTATCAAAGAAAATAAAAAGTGAATTTCTGCTTCTGCTAGTAATCGGCCAGCATTAACCGTTATAACTTCACCATCAATAGTATAAGTAACCAAATTGGCAAATTCTGAAAAATCTTAAGCATCATCCAAGAATTTGTATTGCTGATGAATTTGCATGTGAAAACCTAAAAACCAAGTTGGATATATGAGACTTCATTCAGATACATTGACGACATGTCAACTGTAGAATAAACTCACAACTCAATATAACAATCAACAGACTATAGGTCTCCCTTCAGCATAAAATAACCGGCTTAGAATATGTAGAAGGCTTCATAGTAGAAAGAGCAGTATCACTTTCATCTTGCTCATCAAAGACTATAGGTCTCCCATCGATATGTTTCCTGTCAATAAACAGCAGAGTTAGGTTTGTGTTTAATTGAAATAATAGAATGAACAAGTACTTAACGCTAAATGAACAAGAATATCTCATTGTCTACTGCCCTTATTCTTGTTCTTTTAGGAAAGCGTAGCCTCGGGGTTATACCCAAATTGGATATGCATCTACGAATAAGTCCCAGCCTGAAAGACACTACCACTACTATTCTTAATTCCAAGCTAGGAAGATATTTCAACATCACCTTTTCTTTTTCTTTCTCTTCCTATGGATGGGATGATGGCAATCTTTGCATCCAAGAACAGACAAAAATGCAACACCTACAATTATGTTAAATATATTGTGCACTGTCCCAATTTGAACCAGTATCAAATCGTAGTCCCTAACTTCCTAATCCCATTGCCAAAGAAGATATTCTAAGTCCTTACAAAGTTACTCTTCCCATACGGGAGAAGAAGCATAGAGAACATGGGCTTTGCCCCAGAGTTCATAAAGAATCCACCGATCAAAGGTGCCCAGTTTCATCACCTTGACTTTTGCCCTGATATTAAAAGGTACATATTTACATTTCTTTCTTAATATATAATAACCATAGTCATTCCACCCTATTGCCAGTCCTAGGTAACGGCATTAGGCACTTTTATTCCCAGTTTCGTGCGTCTTATTTAATTGCCAAAAACATAAATCAGAACTAGAGATGCAAGAAATTTATGGGAGCAAGCATACTTTTGTGAGATGAAACTCTCTTCAGACAGTGCTTTCTCTAATCTCTCTTCAAATGGTGTGGCATGCCAACTAACTTTCTGATCCTGAAAAACAAAGGGAGCATTTTTTTAATCCAAATCTTAATAAGGCAAGCAAGAAAGAAGAAAATAGTTAATAGTCGTGCAACATACTTCCTTGTATTTATTAGTTGAATTTGGGATTCCATTCCCATCCCACCACCTCGGGGAGATATGTGAAGGCTCATTCTCATTCCAATGAGCAGCAACCATTCCAATGATAGGCCTGTCTGTAGGAGTTCTTCCCAAACGGAAATTTTTGCTTGATGCATTCGCATCATCAGCATCATGAACGGATTGTGGCGGCTTGATCCAAGAAGACAAGCTTGCTTCCGCCTTCAATTCTTGAACAGAGGAATCTTGTTCTGCCCCAAGTTCTGATTTAGGTGTTTGATTTTCCAGCTGATGGGAAATAAAATCGTCTTCCTGAATTACCTTCCACTGGGAGACATTCTCAACCGGATTCAAGACTGAATAAACATACTGGGACCTAATCCTAGCTTTTCCATTTGCTACAACTTCTAGGTTTGCAGGGAAAACAGTTCCAGGTGTTTGCATTTCATCAGAAAGTTTTAATGGCGTTGGTTTAGGAGACCGCTTTGATACACTTAAATCCCCTGGGGATTCGTACCCTTTAGATGATGATGTATCAAGACTGCATTCAAAGCGAACTGACCTGTTCTTGCATGGAACATTTGTATCTGAAAGCCGTTGAGAAACTGAAGGTGTGATATCATCATTCTTACTAACGTGAACCTTAGCTGTTTTAACATTTCCTGCTTCACCATCTTCAATGGAGCTTACAGATATCCTTCCAGTGTTCTGTACATTGGATATGCAGCTACATGGAAGAAATGGAATTCACCATAAACAAGTTATCAATTTTTTTTTTTTTTGATAGGATTCTCATAAATGCTTTTAACGGTGAACTGTAACACAAAAAACAATAGAACATATTTATTTCTAATTTTTCTCAATTAATTCCAATTCATAAAAAAAATAAATAAACATGTCGAATAATTTGATGAGCTTTCGCAGATCCCATTACTCCCCAACATCAAAAGAAGTGCCATGAAACAGACTTGTATAACTTTAGCTACCCAGTTCATTCTTAAAATCATTACAAAAATTGCCCCAAACAGTTACCAAGCGGATTGGAGACCAATCCTTATGGTTGTAAAAACTGAGACCAAAAGAAAAGGACTTCCATGTGAGATGGGTTCGATAAAATTAGGATAAAGAGTTCAACCTGCTAGGTGTGAGCCCCGGAGAAGCAGAATCATTTCTCAACTCTTTGCAAAGTTTGATAGGAGTAGAGGGCTTATCCAGCTGAAGTTTGTTGGTGGGTGTGTTGAGAAGCCATGAATGGAAATCTGAAGACTTGGAGTCATTATCAAAAGGCGGTAAACCTTTTAACTCATCACTTGCTTTCCGAATTTCAGCAGGAGTCTCAGGTAAAGTACCACAGGCTTTTAGAAACTTGGCCTGCATAAAATTAAGTAACAGTGAATAAAGAATTAAAGTTGCTCACCTGATAAGGAAGTCAATATTGATGAATAAAAATAACCAATTCTTTGATAAGAGAATACTATCAAATTATTAGTTTTTCACCTAAAAAATAGAATCTTCAGCAATAAGTCCAGTAATTATCTTGTAATGAGAATCATTAATGTACTGAAAATTATGCTAACAAAACATAACATGCATAGTTTCCAACTTGCAGAACTGAATGCAGAAACCTAAATATCTCATTTACAGGAAACCAAGTAATTAATTATACCTCATCTACCAGTCCCTTGTTGATTTGTTGAGATCCCACATAAAGATTTTCCATATCATTGTATGTAGACTCTTCTCCCTCTTCATTTTTTTTTTTTATATTTTTTTTGAAAACACAAACAAACAATTATTAGTATCGACTTGAAATCAATGAAAATATATGGACATATGAAGGATATTGAACATTGTTACCTTCAGTCAAAAACAGAGACGACAAACGATTTTTAGATACCGCTGCTTCCTGCTCGAAAAACATAAACAGATAGTGTTATCAAGCAGTAAATGCAATAGTTGAGTAATTCTTTCAGTTATTATATTGTGTGTAATTTTCTTCGCAACCAAACAGATACTAACTGGCAATTTCCCAGTTGCAGATTCTCAAATCTTCGAATAAATCCCTCTTTTCGTTTTAAAAATCCCTTTTTCATTTTTAAAGAAATCAAGATTGAACCGGTAAAGTACATTTTCCTAAAATTTGCCTGAAGGAATTTCAGGGCAACAAAACATTAAACAAAGAAAAGGAAAAAAGAAAAAGTACAGTTGGTTTAGATGGGGTGGAAGCGGAATTGGAGACGAAATGAGGTCGGCGGCGATCGTCTCTGATGCGAAAGCAACCAAAGAAACAGCCCATTGCTCTTGATACCGATCGATCAATATATCTCAACACCGATCTGCAAATTAATCCTATCTCTCGCTTTAACAATGTGCATATCATATCATCTAACCTTTTTCTTCTCTCTCTCAGAAATTAATCACTGATGAGAGAGAGAGAGAGAGAGAGGGAGAGAGTTGGTACGTCGTTTTTGAAATTTGAACTAACTGAACGAGGGAAAGATTTTATGCCTCCAAAATGAAAAGTCCGCTTGGTTTGGGTTTTGGTACTTGATGGTGTATGGACCCACTACTAATACTTGCCATCGGACTGACACACCTAATTTGATCTTTCAAAACCAAGATGGCTCAATTGAGCCCATAAACTTAGAACCCACTAGAATGCCTAAAAATCATGTTTTTTTTTTTTTTTTTTTTTTTTTAATTTGAAACTAACTGAACGAGGGAAAGAATTTTATGCCGTCCAAAATGAAAAGTCCGCTTGGTTTGGGTTTTGGTACTTGATGGTGTATGGACCGCACTTAACTAAATACTTGCCATCGGACTGACACACCTAATTTGATCCTTTCAAAACCAAGATGGCTCAATTGAGCCATAAAACTTAGAACCCATCTTAGAATGCCTAAAATCATGTTTTTTTTTTTTTTTTTTTTTTTTAAAATCAGTATTCTGAAAATCAGACTGGTCAGTAACAGCTGTTTTTTTTTTTTTTTTTTTTTTTTTTTAAATCAGTATTCTGAAAATCAGACTGGTCAGTAACAGCTGAAGGTAAGAGTTCATTGAACCGGAGTGTTCAATTAGATTCAATACGGTTCAACCGTATTTTTTTTTATAATATTTTTAAATATATTTATTTAATAAAATTGAAAATATAGGTTAAAAATATTTTTTGATATCAAATAAAAAAGTTTCAAATTTGACTTTTACAAAAAGAATAAAAATTAATAAATAATGTTAAATAAAAATAATAAAATATGAATAAACTTAATACTAAAAAATTAATTAATTACCATAAAATATATTATTACTTTTCACATGTGAGTTTAAAGATAGGCAATTTAATTGCTTTAATTAACATATTAGAACTTTGTATTTAGAAATAAAGAGGTCCAATGAAACATCCCGTAATCTTATTTTCAAAATATTTGAATTTTAATGAAATTAAAAATTTAGATTTTCGATTGCATGGGCTACAAATACCAAACAATGTTAATCCGAATCTAAACTTACAAGTTGGGCCCAAACCCAAAGCATATTATCGCAACTCCCAATCCAGAAATCTTCTAACTTCTCAAGGATTATTATTTGACATTAAATATTAAATTAATTTTTAAAAACATATATATACCTACTATTTAAATTAATTATTCTAAATGAACTATTATTATTATGATTATTATTGAGTAAATTGAAGAAATGTTCTAGAACTTGATTAAATCAATCAAAATAAATCAAACCACTTAAAAACTATACATTAACTAGATCAAACTGGGGAAATAAGCCAAACCAGTTGAAAATCATAAGAATCTAGAAATTTCTATTAGTCAAACCAGAAATTGATTCTTATGGGAAATCAATTGGACCAAATCACTCAACCCCTCACCCTCACCCTCTCCTTCTCCTCTCACTATCACTGACGGTCCCCTCTTCCTTTCCCTCCGGTTTTTCGGCTGAAACTTCATGGAATCCGGCAAGTGAGGACTCGAAAACCATCTACTCGATGCTAGGAAGCACAATGGAACCTCAGTTCACACATTAGTTGCATGGATTGAGAGAAATTGCGTGGAAAAATGTTTGGTACTGTGAATACTCAAATTTTGAGGCTCAAAAAGCCTGTTTTTCCGGCCGCGGCGGTGGCGGCCGCCCTTAAAGGCGGCGGTAGCCGCTATCGCCAAAGCCCGTTTTCCCGGCCGCGGCGGTGGCGGCCGCCTTTAAAGGCGGCGGTAGCCATTCACAGCGGCTGCAGTCGCCTGTGAATACCTGCCCAGTTCGCCTGTGGAATTTACCCATTTTTTTGGAGGGCTCACAAAGGGCCTGTTTTTCTTCGGGACTGCCAGGAACAGTCCGGCCGGACCCGAGGGCCATTTTGGAAGTTTATCACCGAAAGTATAGCCAATATGGTACTTAAAACGTTTTCAATGGGACGTTCGCGAGGATCATGGAAACTGGTCCCGGGAAAATTCTTTGGAGGTCCTGAGCTCCCGGAAAAAGGGCCTCCGGGAAACCGAAAAAATCAGCAGAACGCGGCGCCCGCCACCGAGGGTCCGGAGGGCCGGCGCCAGAGGCGCTGCCGGAGCCGGGACCGCCGACCCTGGCGGCCAGGCGCCGAAACAGTCCGTTTTTGGGCCTATAAAAGCAGCCCCGGCCTTATTCTGTTTTCGGAGAAACTCGTCTGTCTGTGACGACGCTTCCTTCTTCTCCCTTAAGCTCCTTGCGATTCTTTATGCTTTTTCTGCATTTTTTTATTTAGAGCTTTTATTATTTCTTGCTTTGTTATTTGGTTCATTAAAATAAAATTAATAATATTCCTTTAACAAGGACTTTAACCTGGAGTTTTAAGGAAGTGGCCGCCGATGTAAAAGTCAATGTACAATGAACTAAACTCTGCCTATTTAATTTTTTTAGGCAATTTCAATACATTATTTCTCTTTCTACTTCCTAATAACTCTACAGCTCATTTAAAACACATTAGTCATCAATTAGGCAATAATGCCTCAATCAAATGAATTAAAGCCTTAAAACATAATCCGATAATTAATAATCATGGTATTAATGCTAAATCGACAATATTGGGGTAAAAAGCCTAGTTAATTTATAAACACGGTTTTAATTGGCCTTTTATTTCAAAACAGGTCCGGCTTTAAGTCAATTAATCAATAATTTGTGGCTTAAAAAGCCTTAAATCAAATCATGTTTTGGCAACAATGCCTTACAATTAAAATCAACACAATTTTGGCAAACAAATTGCCCACGGTTCAATTCAATTCTTTTGCGCAAAACAAAGTTGGCCTAATATTAAAATTAGATTAAACCGCTTTTTAGCGACCAAAACACTTACAATCAGACAGCTTGGCCAAAATGGCCTAGAGTAATTCTATCTTTTTAGGCTAAAGCCATTTTCAAACCGAATCATTTTTGGCGAACATTCGCCTAAATTCACATCAAATATTTGGCAAAAAAATTTATGCCTAATCAATTCCATTTTGGCTAAAAAGCCTAAACAGTTCCATCTCTTGGCGACAACGGGCTCGATTTAATCACTTTCTAGCAAAACAAACATTGGGCCCTAAATAAGGCTTTTGGCTACGAAGCCTTTCCAAATTTACCAACTTTTTTAAATTAATCAACCTTTTTGGCTAAAAGCCTTAAAATCAATCATTTTGGCGACAATCGCCTAAAATCAATCGTTTTGGCAATCAAATTGCCTAAATCACACCTTTTTGGCTAAAAGCCTAAAAATCAATCATTTTGGCGACGATCGCCTAAAATCAATCGCTTTGGCAATCAAATTGCCTAAATCACTTTTTTTGGCTAAAAGCCTTAAAATCAACTTTTTTTGGCAATAATTGCCTAAATCAAATTTTTTGGCTACAAGCCATTAAAATCAACATTTTGGCATCAAATGCCTAAAACAATCAATTTTCAGGCAAAATGCTTAAACAAAATGCACAAAGGCAACTATCCACACTCATGCCCCAAAGCATAAACAGCACTTCCATGATTAAAAGGCATACCATATCAAAGCCTCTAAAGGGGGCCTATCGAAACTACGTTGACTTTGATCTTTCCATTCAACGACAGTACGTAGGCACGTTTGGAATCTAAACCCGAGGACGCAAGTTCAAAATTCCACATAAACCCACTTTCCATTTGGTCCATCGTGGCATCATTTAACCCTTGCAAAAGCATTCAATCGGTTAGTTAATCAGCATTGACATAGTCTCGGGATTCCAGCCGGGGTTATCGTAGGACCATGCCTTAATCTCATGTGGGTTAATTAATTTCAGACATTTAGGTTATTAAAAAAATGGAGCTCCACTTAGGGTTTTTTTCTTAGTTTTTACCCTTAAAAATAAATTAAATAAAGGTGTGGACTCACAACATTCACGATGCATTTCTTCCTTAGTGACCATGCATGTTTCAATTGCTATGATGTTCGGTGAAGGGTTTCACAGTATTCGCGACCGGGAACTTCACTGAGGGGACTTATGTAATCATTTTGCATTTGAGAGGGACATACAATTTTTGCTATGTAAAACTAAACCTGCCCTTCTTTAGGGGTTTATTTTACGATGCTTTGTTTTTGCCGGGGACCTTTTGACACGAAATTCAAGTATTCTTTCTTAGAATACGTGGATTAAAGAAAAATTTTGGATTTATTGTAAAGTTAATGAAGAACATTTAAAATTTGTGATTTATTGCACGATTGAGAATCTTTTTCTTCCATTGCATAAAAAAAAATGAATTATCAATGAATTTCTTCTCTCTTGTTCAAATTTTTCTGAGTCTGAGATAGCAGAGTAGCGCTGATCGGCAAGTTCTATTGATTTCTATTTGTCGAGCGGGACAGCAAAAAAGCGTCCTCCCTGTTACCGACAAACCATCTTAATCGCTTTTTGGGGTGGCCCCATGGGGTTATGCGTAAACCGTTGACCCCGCGAAAAATCTTTTTACATGTTTGGTTAGGTATATTCTTAACCTTCAAAGGTTCAAGGTCCCTTAATAAGCCAATTTCTCTTATTTGTCTTTGTCTAGCCTATCAGGACCTAATTCCTTTAGGGGACTATGCACCCAATGATTGCTAGAAATTCATTTACCATTTAAATTGAATATTCACTAGTCTTTTGATTGTTGTGCGCACTTATCACGCAAATTCATCGATACTTCACAAAAAAAAAAACATTCCATTTCAACAGCTGGAAAATCACCATTTTTGGTCCCTTTTGAGGACTTGATTAAATTACATTTTGGTCCCTGAGGACCTGGAAATTAGCATCTTTGCCAACAGAGGCCCAAAAAAAAATTCTTTAATTTTGGCCCCAAAGGCCCAAAAAAATGCCCAAATTTTGGCACCAAAAGGCAAAAAAGAGAATCTTAAAAAAAAAAAAAAACATTCCATTTCAAAGCTGGAAAATCACATTTTGGTCCTTGAGACCTGAAAAATCACATTTTGGTCCTTGAGACTTGGAAAATCACATTTTGGTCCCTGAGACCTGAAAAATTACATTTT